GAGATTTGCCGAATGCTGTCACAAAGGAAATTTTCAAGACCTTTCAAGGCCAAGTAAGCGTTAATATTATAAGCAATATTCGGAGTTTGCCATCGGAAGATCATCGCTGAGTGATGGTCACGGGAATCCTGAGAGCAGAGAGGTAATCCTATCTATGGACGTCTAATTAAAATCATGCAGAAATTTCAAATCAAAGAAGCTACGCGCAAAAGTCAACGAAGATCTTATCTTTCTTCTACAAAACCACATAGCGCGTGTAAGAGCACGCGGCTAGTCGTCATGTCGCCATCAAAAGCTCCAGTTTGTCTAGACGCGATCGGCATGCTTTAGATAAAACATGCGTGGGATTTCCTCTTCATGGCTCGTTTTCGACATGCGGAACTGTAAGATTGAGTCGTAATAACTATTAAAACTTTAACTAGATATGGTTCACGATATGCCCTCAACCAATCAGAATGAAGCAATTTTCTCAGTCATATATAATTTATTTAATTCCAGCTGAGTACTTGTTTACACTCCTGTGTCAATTTGTTTAATTTAATTTAATCATCGACGACAAAATCGTTAGAATAAAATAATGTACTAAAATCACTTTGTTAAAAACTGAAAATTAAATAAAGAGCGGCTACAATTACACTAAAACAAACATTGCGGTAAGAAAATGGTCCTAACATTAAAAGGAAAGCCGCCAAAAGATGCGTCAAGAAATAAGAAATAATCTTGCTTATACGGCTATATTAAATTGCGTCTCCGTTATGCCTGTAGGTCTCCCGCGGATTTTACACTTGCCAGTGTATTCAACTTTATTGGTTTAAATTTTTGCTTAGCAACCCCACAGGTACAAAGTGGTATAAAGTGCGTGGGAATTTCTTAGAAAATGTGAGTCCGATGCTATTTAAAATCGCACTATTACACTCCATCAGCTCACATACTTTGCGTCTTGCTGTTATGAAGGTTCGATTCACTTGGTAATCAAAGAGAATATTCCAATTTCAAGGGACGCGAGCTGTTCAGTCTTACACCGAACGTTATCTTCCATCGTTGGTGATATAGTGTTGCAGCATAAACTTTGGAAATTGGCCTAAACATTGGGACTGAACGATTGGTACTTGTTAAGGTTAGCAGGGGAAGAAGCGAATAGTTCTACCTCATTCCACGGATCAAGCCAGGTCTGCTAAATTTTGACACTGTTGGTTTATTAAGCAACTCGACCTTTTGGGACATACGATATATTGGAAAACGTTTTCAAGGTTTGGCATTCAAATGAATTTTTCAAGCAGCTGCAATATCACTGATAACATAACAGTAAACAATGCTAGCGCTTGCGGAGCAAGTCCAACTGGGCCGGAGATTTTCTCAGATCTCCACGAGGAGTTCGCTAAGTTCCTTTTTGGTTCTGCCATATACATGATCTTGTTGTCGCTTATCACTGTTGTAGCCAACGCCTTGCTCCTGTTGGTCGTGATTGTCGATCCACTGAAGACGTTCAAGAACCCAACTTCGTATTTTCTCATTGGCCTGGCGATAAGCGATTTGTTAACCGCGCTCATCCACCTGCCTTTGACCTCCAGCTGCTTCATCTTCTTTTATCTCCGAAGTCCAGAACAGGGACTTATTTACTGCTATGAAATCTTTCTTGACTTGGGCCAAACTCAAGCAGCCATAACTATGACTATTTCATTTCTGATAGTGTTTGCGTTCACCGCTACACAGTTCGTTATCGTGTCCTCTCCACTGAAATATGCACGCATGGCGACTTCACGAAAAGTAGTAATTTGTGTTGTTAGTTTATACCTATACTGTACTTTGTTTTGGGTGTCCAAATATTGGGGATTACCCGTTGACGTGCTCAAAAAGATCGACGTTCTTCTACACAATTTTTTAATTCCCTATGCCACAATTGCCTGTTACGTTCTTTTACATTACACTTTCAAACGGAAAATGGCCGCTTCAAAAATGCTTTCGAGTGAGAGTCACATTCAGCGGGTACCGAAAGAAACCCAAGGCAATCGCGTCCACCAAAAGTTTGTGAAAATTAACTGTGTTTTGATTGCCATACTCGTCTTCTGTTCACAGCCTTCAGCTATATTTTGGTTGATTAGGAACTTCTGGCTCCCGGCTGAAGAAACAGTACAGTTGTCCACCGTTAATCTTTTCATTGATAATATTCTTTACCTGAAGTTCATGTTAGATCCATTTGTTTACGCTTGGCGTTTGCCAAAGTACAGGGAGGCCCTCAGGGTTATTTTCCCCGCACTAGAGAAGTGCAGGCGTAAGTCGAGATATGAAAGAAGATTAGAAGAGTCAATGACTAGCCGATCACTTGAAACAGTGATGACTTTGGATGTCAGAAAAATCGACAGTGAATAGAAAGACAATAAATTCAGCAGGGCTGGCGCAGTGGTGAGAGCGCTCGCCTCCCACCAATGTGGCCCGGGTTCGATTCTAGCTTGGTGCAATTTGTGGGTTGCGTTTGTTGTTGGTCAACGCCTCGTTTCAATTATTTTTCTTCGGTTTATCCAGTTTTTCTCCCCCCGCAAAAACCAACACTTTTAAAAATTCCAATTGGAAACAGTGGTCAAAGTGTATCTTGGTCAGGGGGATGCGCACTGCAAATTCATATATCCATCTGTTTATTATTTTCCGATTGATTGACTGATCCATCTATCGATTGATTTTATTTACGTGTAATTTTTTCATATGGCGACACACTTGTTGTTCTGCACCATGTTTGTTGCGTAAAGAGAATAATATCCGTTTGGCAACACACAGCTGATCGAATGAATAGGTTTTAGGTCAAGAAATTATGTACTGAAAGTAATTCCAGAATAAATTCTTTTTCCACGGGTACATGTAGGATTGGTAATGTATGCATAAAAAAAGTTCAGTTTGCAGCAAAATCATACATATCAAAGAAATTGGCTGGTCAGATTTAAAAACGGTAAACTGTCTGTAAAGAAAGAAAATAAAGTGATGAAACTATTCATTACGCTTTAAGTGATTAACTAGTGACTGCCTAGGTGTAAAATAGCAATAATTATTAAAATANGTTGATTAGAATTATTAAAATAAGTCTATAATGAAACTATCTCCTAGTCAATGTTGTTATAAATGCTGCACTGCGAAGCTTTGATGATATATGTGAAAATAAAATAATTTTTATAACTTTTTAATAACTTTTTCACACCTCTTGGATTGATTACGAACTATACGTGCAATCAGTCATATAAAAAATATAGCTTATTCACTGAAGATGTGTACCAGGTCTAGGAAGCAACATTTTGACATACTACATCAGATTCACATTCATACTTTTATCATTTGCGCTATTTACAAATCTTACACCGATTAAATTACAATAACGGCAAAGAAAATTTAGAAATGGAAAAAGAATCAGGTTGCTGTTGAAGGCGGGGGACGGGGGAATTCCAGCCCAATCCGAGTGTCTCATAAAAACAATCACTTGATGAAACATTTTGACAATTTGCGTCACCACGTTATTACAAAGTACGTAGACTAGGTGTCATCACAAAATGCTGCAACCCTTGCAAAAAATGTATTGTTGCTATTTCAGTAATACAAAATAACGCATGTTATAATAAAGTTTCCATATAACGCGCGCTTTAATTTGTTTGGCTGAAACAGTGTGCTTTATCAGAAAACAGACGCACGCTGACGCCACTTTTACTAGTTTGGAAGAAAAAAGTTTGGTTTGAAAATTCAGCCGAATGCCTGGGAAAATTAATGAATTCTTTATCATAAAACAAATAAAGAAGCCTCGACTGTGCTCTGTCCTGTTGTAAAGCACTTAGGAAGCGGTAGAGCACTCAAGAAGTAGGGAAAAACACTTGACTGCGTCATGTGTTTCCCTCTACACTTCTTTCGTGCTCTACCGCTTCCTGCGTGCTTTCCAAAAAAGAGAGCACAGTCGTGGCTTCTTCATTTGTTAATATTAGAAATTCTGAAGCTAATTAAGCCTTTAGAGCGGTTTTCATTCGAGTATCGAAAAGCTATCCCCTTTGCACTTACCACGCTACACGATTGGCCTAAGAAATTCGCGCCAATTTTTTTTCCAATCAGAAGTAAACCAAAACCAATCGTGACTCGATCGTACGAGTTTTCCCGCGTTTCGCGTCCGCTACACGTAATTACTTCGGGTTTTGATTCGTTCGCTGTATTGTCAGTGTCCTTTGTATAAAATTTGTGACTGGATGAGTAATTACTTTTATTTTAGTTTTACGACACTCGATTGAAAATCGCTATATTATACTGAAAATGCGTCAGGTGTTACAAAATTGCTGCAGATTAGTCTCAATTCAAATTACAGGATGTGATCGATCTTAGAAGAACAGAAAAGCTTGGTGTGACCTTGCGAAAGTTTTAATTTTCATTTAAAAAATCGTGTTTCATCAAAACATGGTCATTTTAATTTTTGCTTATTACTAGACCTACGCAGCATGCAGAATCCGTCAACTTAATGAGGAAACAGGAATTTTTATCCCATTGACAATAGCACAACCTCATTATAGCCGTCAACGCCGGTAATAGGGAGCTTAAGAAAACCATGAGGGCAACGAGAGCGTCACTAAACGAAAGATTTAATGAGCAGGGCAATGGCTGTCCACGTGCGTTATAATTCTAAAAAAACAAAGCTCCGTTTTCAAAATGTTTTGGTCCACACGAAAACGCAAAGCCGGCGTTTTCAAATTCCTCCGGTTTGAAGAGCGTTCTCAAAAAGCTCCGGATCCGTGTTCGTGACGGATTAGTGTGGACGTTTGGCCTAACCGTAGAAGTAAAGCTGTATTTTTAAATTTCTCCGGCTCCAGGAGTGTGGACCTGCCTCAAACGCCATGAATATTAATATCAATATCATTGAAATATAAACATAAACATTTCGTTAAAAAATATATTAAGCTTCTAGGCCGAATGAGACACATTTCTGAAACATAACTACATAAAAGTCGCGCTGTGTTCAAGATGATTCGTTAACAGTTGCACAAGGAAACGTTTTTCACAAACAAAAATAACTTTACTTGCATTTGAATTGTTGGAAGCACAAAAAACAATGCAAACCTATTATAGTAAAGGGTATGTTGCCTTTTATGTCTTTATTGTGAAAGTTATTGTTATGTAGATTCAAATTAAACCTTACTTGAAAATTAATTGAGCTTCCAGGACGAATGAGAACACATTCGATATCACACGATGATTGGAGAACGTTAGATTATAGAAAAGTCATGCTGCGTTCAAGACGAGTATAACAGGCATAAATGGAAATAATTTTCACAAGCAGAAATTAATTCCGTTTGAGTTGTTATAAGCTCAAAAGCGAGACAAAAAAAGTTTAAGGTGTGTTGCCTCTTGAATGTGAGATAGCCTGTAATCTTGCGACAAACTTCCCTGGAAATTCTATGTCGTGTTCATAGCCTGTATCGCCGAACCAGCGTTCTTCTTTTTGGCTCCGCAATCTACATAATCACCGTATGATCCATAAACATTGTGGCAAATACATATGGATCTTGAGCAAGCATTAAAATGCAATATTACGGCCAATTTCACAAGAAATTTTTCGTCATGTCTTCAATCCATACTACCGCCATCAGGACCCATCGTCAATCCTTACAACGAGTTCTACAAGTTCGCCTTTGGTTCCGCAATCTACATGATCATTGTCTCATTTATAAACGTCGTGGCAAATGGCTTTTTACTTCTGGTTTTCTTCATTGATCCTTTGAAAATTTTTCGCAACGCCACCACTTATTTCCTGATCGGTATTGCCTTCGTTGATATTTTCATTGCCGCAACGCAACAACCCATGTACAGCACATGTTTCATAATGATGCATATTCGTCACCCTGACACTGTTAAAACGTGTACAGATCTCTTGAACATAGGACAAACGATGTCGCTTACTGCCATGAACGCGTCTTTTCTTATCGTATTGGCCTTTACTGTCACACAGTACATTGTGGTGATTTCACCTCTGAATCACGCGCGAAAGGTGACGAAAACGCGCGTGATCATCTGCGTGTTAGCCATTTACGCCTATGCTATACTGTTCAGTGTATCTCCAGAAATGGGCGTCCCCAGAGATATCCAACAAAAAATTGATAACACGTTTCACTCCATCGCCCTGATATATCTGACCATAATCTTCTACATCCTCCTGTACATTGCTTTCAAGAAAAAAATGGCCGCTTCTAAGCGTCTTCGAGAAGACCACAACACGCAAGAGGAAGAAAAGAATGATAGGCAAACGGGTGTGGAGCGTAAGTTTATCATTGTCAATTTCCTTTTGATTGCCATCTTGTTTCTGACCTCTCAACCTTCAGCCATGTTGTGGATTATCCGTTTGTACTCCAACGAAGATGAAAACAGTCCAACAGTTCTTATTATCAATCTCTGGGTTGATAACGTGCTTTACCTGAAATTCCTGCTTGACCCGTTTGTGTACGCGTGGAGAATTCCCAAATATCGCCAGGCACTTGGGATTGTCCTGCGCTGTGGCAGAGAGGAGTCGGAGAACAAGTCAACGTTCAGGGATCACGTTATGGCTCAGATGAACAAGTCACGTGAGACTGTCATCACCCTGGACTTTAAGAGTATTTCCATGGACTGAAATACTGTGTGATAGTTAATAGCTACAGGTTTCCCATAAAACCGTGTTTTAGAGCAGCAGGTCTTTTACATAGGAAATAATTTGGTATCTGTTCGTGTTTTACATACTCATGATCAGTAACAATTTTGCCCCTCATCTGAATTTTTATAAGATTTGCATGGCTTCTCAAATTGCCAGGTGAGGCTTTTTTGCCAAAATCCCAGACCTGCTCCCATTTTTGCCCAGTGATTCTAAATTCCAGTGACCCAAATCCCATTTTCCTTGTCAAAAATAGGAAAACATCACGACCATTCTTATTTTTGGTTTGTAATTCTCAATCCCATTGACCCAAATCCCACTTTTATAGTAAAAATAGGCAAATCTCAGTGCCATTCTCATTTTTGGTTAGTAATTGTCAATCTCAGGGACTCAAATTTATCTTTTCCTCCTCAGTCTCATTCCCATTTTTGGTTTGTAATTCTCAATCTTAGTGACCCAAATCCTACTTTCCTTGTTAAAATAGGCAGATCTCAGTTGCATTCCCAATTTTGGTTTGTGTTTCTTAATCCCAGTGACCCAAACTCCCCTTTTCATGTTAAAAATAGACAAATCTCAGTCCCATCTTCTTTTTTGGTTTCTGATTCTCAATTCCAGTGATCCAAATCCCACTTTCCTTGTCAAAAATAGACAAATCTCAGTGCCATTCTCATTTTTGGGTTGTGATTTTCAATCCCAGTAATCCAAATCCTACTTTCCTTGTCACAAATAGGCAATTCTTAGTCCCATTTTCATGTTTGGATAGTGATTCTCAATTCTCCCACTTTCCTTGACAAAAATAGACAAATCTCAGTGTCATTCTCATTTTTGGGTTGTGATTTTCAATCCCAGTGATTCAAATCCTACTNTTTTTTTTTTTTTTTTTTTTCTTTTGGATCCCTTTCTTTTCGGACAATTTTAATTAGTTTTTCAAATAAATCCACCTGCCAAACTCACATCTGAGTCACGGAAAAAAGTTCGTCTCCCTTTTGCTTTATATCGATAATTCAATTTCAAATTACAGCTTCTAGCATTCTGATTCTATACCATCGGAAGATATGTTAAAACTTCTAAGCAAGGCATCATCTACCTGTCATTCCATGAGATCCCAATAATGAGTGAGCTATGATTTACAAAAATTTCGGTGTCAAAGTCTATTTTAGTAGCCCTTTTTACCTATATTCGATTTGTAGTGGGGATGACTAAGTAATTTGGGGTTGATGGATATCTAGCAATGAATTTTTGGGTTCAGTTTCAACTATTATTAGCGGGCCGAACAACGTTTCGTCAAAATCTCTATTCACTACCGAGTAGATATATCAGGTATTTCAGGGCAAATAAATGTCTAATTTTTGTGATGGTTTTGATATCAGATGATTTTCTAGTGACCAAAATGTTAAAAAAAAAAAAAAATACGTTTTGACTCTTGTAGGATAAAGCTTTCAAGGTTTTCCCACCAAATGAGTTTCTAGAATTAATCTGTCGATCGAATAAGGACCGTGAATCTCCATCCCACTGATATGAAGACTTCTCTACCATTGTTAACGTTGATGACACACAAATTTCCAACTGCTAAAATAATTGAAAACATTCATCATCCTTCCCCCTGAAAGTCACCGCGTGAAAAACCGGTGCAATTATTGAAAGTCTTTTCAAAGGCCAGCTGGGGTCTCTCTTGAGCTCCCATGAGTGTTATATCAGAAAGTGACGTGTTTTTATTTTTACAAATTCAGTATTAGCCGGCAGATTGTCATGCTATTTCAAGCCTTGCCTTTTGAAGACTGTCTAACTCTCCCAGGAAGAACTGCAGACAATTGACACGTTCCTTTGAAAAAGATATTGGAAAGAAATAGGCTATATAACATTCACTTCGTGTGACTGGCGACACGATGGGACAGCTACGTTTACGTAGAACCCAGAGAAATGGACCATACCTTTAACAAGTGCATTTGAGTTCAGTTTAAACTACTGATTGGAGTACGTGATCAAAGTGTTTACCCTGGTAAATGATCAGTTAAGCTTTAGACCTTTAGACCTGTACTGACAATTCTGTTTTGTTTGTCTTATGATTCTATTATGAATTGTCTGCATTGTATTACACATGCTATGGTTTGTTTAAATCCTCAGCCCATTTCGATTCAGAGATCTAACTTTTTTAATTTATAATCTCAGTGTACCAGGATTAATATTTTTCCAGTTTTGTGGTCTTTTAACGGGTGTTATCCCGTAAACACTATTGAAACATCCCCTTTAGTTCTTATAATCATCGGAACTGGGGCTAATTAAATTAGTTAGGCATATTACAAAAGCCTCTTGAACTCAAAGCGTTGTTTTTCAACTCTCGTAGGTTTGATTATATAGCCTCTAACTGCTTAAGTAGCCTGAGTAATTACATCACAGTTGGAATTGGACAGAGACTCTTACACCCTTTTGAAGTGTTAGCCTTCATTCCATAAAATAAACGAATTATCCCCTTGTAAGCACAACAGGTATAAAAGAAAAGAAACTGTCTTTCACGAAACAGAGCCATTAGACTTTAAACAGTCAAAGTTACCAGTATCATGGATCTTGAAACAGCGTCAGAATGCAACACTACAGCAAACTTCACCGTAAATGTTTCGTCCTGTCCCCAACCTATACCAGCGCCGCCATCAGGACCCATCGTCAATCCTTACAACGAGTTCTACAAGTTCGCTTTTGGTTCCGCAATCTACATGATCATTGTCTCATTTATAAACGTCGTGGCAAATGGCTTTTTACTTCTGGTTTTCTTCATTGATCCTTTGAAAATTTTTCGCAACGCCACCACTTATTTCCTGATCGGTATTGCCTTCGTTGATATTTTCATTGCCGCAACGCAACAACCCATGTACAGCACATGTTTCATAATGATGCATATTCGTCACCCTGACACTGTTAAAACATGTACAGATCTCTTGAACATAGGACAAACGATGTCGCTTACTGCCATGAACGCGTCTTTTCTTATCGTATTGGCCTTTACTGTCACACAGTACATTGTGGTGATTTCACCTCTGAATCACGCGCGAAAGGTGACGAAAACGCGCGTGATCATCTGCGTGTTAGCCATTTACGCCTATGCTATACTGTTCAGTGTATCTCCAGAAATGGGCGTCCCCAGAGATATCCAACAAAAAATTGATAACACGTTTCACTCCATCGCCCTGATATATCTGACCATAATCTTCTACATCCTCCTGTACATTGCTTTCAAGAAAAAAATGGCCGCTTCTAAGCGTCTTCGAGAAGACCGCAGCACGCAAGAGGAAGAAAAGAATGATAGGCAAACGGGTGTGGAGCGTAAGTTTATCATTGTCAATTTCCTTCTGATTGCCATCTTGTTTCTGACCTCTCAGCCTTCAGCCATGTTGTGGATTATCCGTTTGTACTCCAACGAAGATGTTAACAGTCCAAAAGTTTTGATTATCAATCTCTGGGTTGATAACATGCTTTACGTGAAATTCCTGCTTGACCCGTTTGTGTACGCGTGGAGAATTCCCAAATATCGCCAGGCTCTTAGGATCATGCTGCGCTGTGGCGGAGAGGAGACTAGGAACAAGTCAACGTCCAGTGAACTCGTTATGGCCCGGATGAGCACTTCACGTGAGACTGTCATCACTCTTGACTTGAAGAGGATTTTCCCTAAATAAAAATTGAGAAATCTCCGACTGAACGGGAAAATCCTGATTGTTATGTATCGTTAGCTAACCTCAACTTAGCAATGATGTACAAAGGTAGTTGACAAAGGTAGTTGATGACCTGTGTGCATATAACCCGCTCACAGGGTTTCTCGTACAGTAAAGATGTAGATTCAGAAAAGTTAAAATATAAAAGCGATCAATAACAAGCCCATCGAAGAATAGAACTGTATTCGTACAGCAGCGGTAAGAACGTTACATCGATCTCCTAGATTATCACTGATAAAGTGGAATTAAAACCAAGGTAAACATTTAGGCGCCGTCCATACTACGCAGAAGGAATTTGAAAACGCAGCTGTATTTTCCCGGTTATGCCTTACGTCCGCCACACTAATCCGTCACGAAAACGGAGCTTTTCGAAAACGCTCTTCAAACTGGAAGCATTTAAAATCGCCGGCTTTTCGTTTTCGTGTGGACGGAAAACATTTTGAAACGATCGAAGCTTTTTGTAAACAATAACGTTGCGATCATCATAGTATTCACGTCCCGAGTTTTCCTCAAACACAAATCCAAAATTACCGGTGACTGTTGCGTTTTTAAATTCCTCCGGCGTAGTGTGGACGGGGAACATTTGGTGCGTTTCAGAGTGAAACCTCCGTTTTCAAATTCCTCGGCGAAGTGTAGAAGGGGCTTTATTCTCGAAGAAAAACAGTAGTCTTGTTACAACCAAGTCACTTTTCAGGATTTTTAATATTGCATCTAACAATGAACCAAACAAAACGTCGAAGAATTCGAATTTCAGTTGCATGGTTATTCCACGATCTTCTTGAAACACGATATTCACTTCGCAATTTTTTGTCAGTGTTATGTGAATGGAAATTTCCAACTAAAAACAATTTAATCTAGGGCTGTAAAAATTATTGGATGGATACTACTAATAAAAATTTTACACCTTTGGGAACTGTCTCTGCTCAAAAACGCCAGGATAATTCAGTTCAAGGACTAGAAAAGACTTACCTAGGTATTTGTCATCCACATTGGATAAGTTTTTCAGTTGATCGTTCGAATTTAATTCACTGCAAAATGTATAACATTAAATGTCGAGGTTTTTGCTTGGACACGTGTGGCCCTAACTTCTTTCCATTATTTTAATCTATTATTAGTGCCTATTTTGTTCCTTCTCATTTCAATTCTTTGGTACTGTATTTTTCTTTTTAATGAGTGATAAGGTGGCTAGAATGAGTTAGAGCAGATAGTTGGGGAAGAAAAAATTCACTCGCTCGATCAGTTACTCAATCAGTCGTCAGGCGCAAACAATGTTTTTCCTTCAGAATTTAGTTTCTGCTGGTACTTTCCTTTCACCCACGATATCGTACAAGAAAAATGTTAATATTTGAAATGTGTTAGCTTTTTCAAGAATAGACATTGCTGGACTGGAGAGACTTTGTCTCTTTTTGTAACATTATAGAGTATATGTTTATTCAGTTATGTTTGATTTCTTGTTAATAAGATGAACGTTTAAGAAGGAATCCACCAGGCTTTCGAGTAACAGTTAAGCTAACAAAAACTTTGTACCGTGATCATTAACATCGCATTGCAAACTTCTGTACCAATGTGGGAAATATCGTATAAAAAAAATCACGATTATTTCTAACAACAACAACAAAAAAAGAGAGCTTAAAGTGAAACACTTGAAAGTACTAGTGAAATGAAACAGATGATGAAATTTTACTCGTGTTTGCACAATCATGTCGCTGAACTTTGAAATCGAAATTTTCTCGAGTTTCCATGGGAAATGTGTTTTGTGTTTTTCAGGTGATTGTTTGTATTGTTGATATCTTTAGCTCTCAGAAAATGGAAAAGGACTGTACTATACTTAAAATTGTTCTGGTACCAGGTCAGTTGTCCACTAAAGACTGAAATTGCTTGATTTCCTATCGGTTTTCGTTTTAATATTATTTACAGGAATAAGTTAAGGACAGCACATCATGAGAAAACTGGCCAAGTTTTTCAAGTTTGTCGAATCGTTCGAAACTGATATTTGTCTTTCTTGTAACAATTGCAGCCCGTGTTTATTTTCGCTTTGTGTTAACTCTTCGGTGTTTTTCCACCTGATAAAACTGTTTAGGTTCTTTTAATTTGGACTTTATTTCTTACATCAAGAAAACAAATGACTTGAAACAACTTCCCGCAGCCCATTTCGAAAAGATTCAACCATAAAGAAAGTGAAATACCTCAAATTCAACTTTTCCATTTCACAACTTTATTTTTATCTATAGTTTAAAATTATTATTAAAAATTGATGCTGAAAAAGACTTACGTAAGAAAACCGTAGGACATTTTTTCTTGTTCTTTTCTACAGTTTTTATTAGCTCAATCTGCTTTAGAGTTGTGTGCAAACTATCGTACAGTACGTGTTGTTAAAAGTTGTTTTTTCTAAATAACCTGCGGGAAATGGATCCCTTTCTTTTCGGACAATTTTAATTAGTTTTTCAAATAAATCCACCTGCCAAACTCACATCTGAGTCACGGAAAAAAGTTCGTCTCCCTTTTGCTTTATATCGATAATTCAATTTCAAATTACAGCTTCTAGCATTCTGATTCTATACCATCGGAAGATATGTTAAAACTTCTAAGCAAGGCATCATCTACCTGTCATTCCATGAGATCCCAATAATGAGTGAGCTATGATTTACAAAAATTTCGGTGTCAAAGTCTATTTTAGTAGCCCTTTTTACCTATATTCGATTTGTAGTGGGGATGACTAAGTAATTTGGGGTTGATGGATATCTAGCAATGAATTTTTGGGTTCAGTTTCAACTATTATTAGCGGGCCGAACAACGTTTCGTCAAAATCTCTATTCACTACCGAGTAGATATATCAGGTATTTCAGGGCAAATAAATGTCTAATTTTTGTGATGGTTTTGATATCAGATG